AATCGGGAAAGTAATATTTGATGATCAATCGTGTCAAAGGCAGCCGACAAATCCAATAACAAAAGTATTACCGATGACCGATTGTCTAATGCCAGGAGTGCTATGATACTTTTTATAGGCTGATTGATACACTTCATACAAGTTATTATGCCTAATATAAGTATCAACTTGGGACGCAACAACTTTTTCAACAGCCTTTGACAAAAATTTCAAATTGGAAATTGGTCGAAAGCTTGAGAATTCTTCATGATCCAGAGACGGTTTCTTCATAGATGGTAGCAGAAGTGCCATTTTCAAACTGGGTGGGACCAATGCATGATGCAGAGAAAGATTAACAATGTCTGTTATCACAGGAAGTAATAGATGACCACACTTTTTAAAAACAGAAGCTGGTATAGGATCCAGTTGACATGACTTACTTGACATTTTATCAATTAATTTCCCAAGATTTTCAGATGTTACAGGGGTAAAGGTGGATAGCTCAGCTTGTATTGGGTATGTCTTGTCATAATCGAAATTCATAGATGTTTCAGACAGCAATGTTGATCTTATATTTGTAATCTTGGTACAAAAGAAATTCGCAAAATCATTTGCCAAATTACCAGAAACACCAGATGAAGGATAAAGCTTTTCCGCTTTTTTATGAATCATCTTGTCTACAGTACTAAAGAGATTTCGTTGATCAGGTCCCAAACTATCAATCAAATCACCATAAAAAGACATTTTCGAATGAAAGATCAAATCATTGACTTTCATACATTGCTTAACATACAGATCTCTGTCGGTCGCCATATTAGAAGAACGCCAACGCCTTTCAAGTCTCCTTTTAATAATTCTTTGTGCATGAATTTCCTGTGTGTACCAAGGAGAAAAATCACGTATTGTGACCAATTTATTATGTAGGGGAGCATGAGTGTCTAATAATGATCTGAGCACAGTTTCATATTCCTCAACTAGTTCACTGACTGGCAAGGACCCAGTTGATTCAGACATAAGAGAAGATCTTTCAAGGTCTGTACAAAATTTTTCATAATTTATGTTCCTTAGCTTGCGACAACAAATTTCTTTCCTTTGTCGTTTAGGTTTCTCAACTAAAACATTCACATTTACAGAAAAGTGGTCAGAAATACCCGGGTCGTTGATATATAATGAGTCAATGATGTTATCTTCATAGCGTGTAATAATTAGGTCGAGAGTATGGCCGTCTTTATGAGTAGGTTCACATATGTGTTGCTTAAGATTAAAGGAATGGATTATATCCAAATATTAAAGGAATGGATTATATCCGACACAAGTTCTTCACCTCTTTTCACTCCCTCTAGTTCAGCTTCTAACTCTCTTGACTCATTAAATATAACTGGATCCGATGTTCAGCCTTTGTTGTCCAATTTGTCACCCTCTAAGGCTACTGGTCCTGAAGGTATTCCAGCTTACCTTCTAAAGCGATGTTCTGAGGTAATTGCCCCTTCTTTGACTGCTATTTTTGAGTTATCTCTTCAGCAGAGTGTTTTTCCTTCTGAATGGAAAGCTGCTAATGTCGTGCCTATACTCAAAAAGGGTGACACTCAGGAGGTCACTAACTACAGACCAGTTTCCTTACTCTCAAGTCTCAAACGTTCTCGAACGTTTAATTTTCAGTCAGGTTTCTTCTTTTGTTGAAAACTCCTTGTACGACCTTCAACATGGCTTTCGCTGTAAAAGGTCGTGTGTTACTCAACTTTTGAGTGTACTTCACGACCTTGGTCGTACTCTTGACTCTGGAAAGGAAACAGACCTGATTTATCTCGACTTTGCTAAAGCGTTTGACTCGGTGTCCCATAGCAAACTTTTGTTCAAACTTAAATCGTTTGGAATCTCAGGTCCACTTCTTAACTGGTTTGCTGATTACCTTCGTGATCGCAAACAATGTGTTGTCGTTGAAGGAGCTTCCTCATCTTTTCTTAATGTTACCTCTGGGGTGCCACAAGGTAGTGTAATAGGTCCTCTTTTATTCATTCTTTATGTAAATGATCTTGCAGAGGTAACCAATAATAGTACCGTTGCACTTTTTGCTGATGACAGCAAGTGTTATCGTGCTATACGATCACCAGTTGATCGGGGTCTCCTTCAGCTTGACCTGGACGCTATGTCCAACTGGTCACTTAACTGGAAAATGAAATTTAATGTCTCGAAGACGCTCCTACTTAGGATATCCCGCAAACGTAACCCTCCAACTCATTGCTACTTTCTTAACAACGATCCAGTTAAGAGCATAGCTAACCAAGTAGACTTGGGTGTTGTTATCAGCAATGACCTAAAGTGGTCCCCTCACATCGCCAGCTGCACTGCAAAAGCCAATCGTATGCTTGGTTTTCTTCGTAGGAATTGTACGCAAATGTCTGATATTCGCTGCCGTAGGCATCTTTATCTTGCTCTCGTCCGATCTCATCTGTCATATGGTAGTGAGATCTGGGCACCTCATGGATCGTCACGTGATCTTGCGATCATCGAAGGTGTTCAATGACAGGCTAGTAAATTTGTCCTTCAGGATTATGAGTTGCCATATCCTGAACGCCTTAAGAAGCTTAATCTATTACCAATATCCTACTGTATGGAACTAAAGGATCTCGTCTTCTTTTTTAAATGTAAGCACGGTCTCTTCGACCTAGATATCTCCTCTTTCGTCACTTTTACTTCAAATAGCTCGTCTCACACCCGTTCAAGTTTGGACAACTTGCTTCATGTTAATCATTGCAGGTCTTCTCTCTTTAGGAACTCTTTTTTCAACCGAATTGTCTTTCTCAGGAATAACCTCTCTCCCACCATTCGTAATAGTTCATCCGTTTCCTCCTTTAAAAACAGCCTAACTGTAATTTGCTCTTCTCTACTTCATTCATCTTTCGATGTAAACAGAATGCGCACTTGGAAAACCTTCTGTTCTAAATGCCGCTCTTTCAACTTAAGCTGTTGTTCGTAATTCGTCATGTGTTTTCAGATTACGATAGTTAAAGTCCTTGATCCTTTGTGACGTTATTCGCTAGCGCGACCTGATAACGCGACGCTAGTGCATGTGATGAATGGAAACGCGACGCTACTGTGACTTCATTGGTGGCATCACGTTGATCTGCTGAGTGTGAACTATCTCATTGGTATTGCATGCATCCTGCGCTAAAGCCGATGCTATCTGAACAAATAGATTTTGCATACTAATTACTTCCGCGGCTGGAATATAGTCAATCACTACACTAGCTGATACAAAAACCTGTTGAATCGTACGTGCCGACAAAGGTTTGATACCAAATTTTGGTATGAACCTCTGATTAATTAACATAGAATTGAAGTCTTTCGAATTGAAGTCGAATAAACTTTCACGGAGTTACCTCGTCTTGGAAAACCTCTGCTGTGGTTCCAACCAGGCCGAAATTGTGAACTTGGAAGTTTCAGTTTACCTATTTTATCTTATTTATTATACAGTTATTTCAATTAAGGTTGTCCCCCGAGGAAAGCGGAAAACTCGAATACGAGCGCGAAAGGCTGCTGGGAATCGCTAATAAATGAATCAATTTATTAGCCATTCCCAGCAGCCTTTCGCGCTCGTAGTCGACTTTTCCGCTTTGCTCGGGGGACAACCTTAATTGAAATAGCTGTATACATGACAAAATTACAGCAATCTGATTGGTTAAGACGAGTGCAATTATTTCATTAATTATTTATCTTCTGTAATCAGTGGCAAATACTGCAATTCCATTGGTTTACAGGAGTGCGATTTGAGCATTAATCGCACCTTTTCTGAGCTGTAATCGCACTCTTGTCTACAACCAATGAAAATCAGTCTAGTATTTACAACTAGCCAATCAGCATTCAGGATACAAACTTTGAATTTTATTTTCTTTGTTGCTGTAAAAAAATTCAAAATGGAGGAATTCACAAATTTTGACCTTTTAATTTTTAAATCAGCCCTCGAAAACCGGCAAAATTGAGGTCGGAAAAAATATGCCGACCTAAATCTGACCTAGCTTGGCACATCTCGGCATTTTTTTAAATCTGTTTCCATGTTTTGGAGCACTAGTAGCCTGCACTAGTAATCACGTATTTACGAATCATTGAAAAGTATAAATGTCACGAAGGCTTTTCTTTTAGAGTCTTACCTAAATTATATCATAATACCCGTTAATTCTTAAACCTTACACCAAAGTGTATCGAATTCTATAATCGCTGATTTTTTAACAGCTATCAGCACCAAAAAAGTTTCTTACTTTGGTTGAATTAAGGTCGGCAAAACATTGCCGACCTGGGAGGTTGATAGGTCGGTATTTAATAGGTCGGCATTGCCGAATACCGACCTCGCTTTCTAGGGCTGTTAAATTATATATTTTCTGACGAAAATGACCTACCTGTTCTTCCAGCAGAAGACACCAAACTAGACACAACCAGGGGTTATATTCAGATTAAAATGAACTAAAGAACTTCACTATTTTGAACACGTTATAAACATACAAACATGGCTTCCCAATTGTGTGTTGAATATTGAATAATTCAAACAATGTTGTCATGTGATTATACCGGAAATAATACCCGGAAGTTAATAATATGTTAATTTTTATGATAAATTTAATTCAAAATTGTAGCTATTTCACTAAGAATTGTCGTGACAAAAATTTAATAATTATATTGAATTTCAACAAATTGTATTTTTTGTGCTTTTTTCTACAGTTTGATTACAGAAGATAAATAATTAATAAGTAATAGAACGAATTAAGTCGTACTATTAATGCCATAATCATACTCGTGATTAACAAATCAACCTCCCGCTACGCGGTCGGTTGATTTTGTAATCACTCGTATGATTATGGCATTAATAGCACTCCTATTCGTTCTATTACCATCATTAATTATTTATCTTCTGTAATCAATGGCAAATACTGCAATTTCATTGGTTTACAGGAGTGCGATTTGAGCATTAATCGCACCTTTTCTGAGCTGTAATCGCACTCTTGTCTACAGCCAATGAAAATCAGTCTAGTATTTACACTAGCCAATCAGCACTCAGGATACAAACTTTGAATTTTATTTTCTTTATTGCTGTAAAAAATTTCAAAATGGAGGAATTCACAAATTTTGCCCTTTTAATTTTTAAATCTGCCCTCGAAAACCGTCAAAATTGAGGTCGGAAAAAAAATGCCGACCTAAATCTGACCTATCTCGGCATTTTTTAAAATCTGTTTCCATGTCTTGGAGCACTAGTAGCCTGCACTAGTAATCACGTATTTACGAATCATTGAAAAGTATAAATGTCACGAAGCCTTTTCTTTTAGAGGTTTACCTAAATTATATCATAAATATACCCGTTAATTCTTAAACCTTACACCAAAGTGCATCGAATTCTATAATCGCTGACTTTTTAACAACTATAAGAACCAAAAAGATTCTTACTTTGGCTGAATTAAGGTCGGCAAAACATTGCCGACATGGGAGGTTGATAGGTCGGCATTTTAATACTGAAGGGCGGCATTGCCGAATGCCGATCTCGTTTTCGAGGGTTGTTAAATTATATATTTTCTGACGAAAATGACCTACCTGTTCATCCAGCAGAAGACACCGAACTAGACACAATCCAATTCAGATGATTAATTGAACTAAAGAACTTCACTATTTTGAACACGTTATAAACATACAAACATGGCTTCCCAATTGTGTTTTGAATAATTCAAACAAATGTTGTCATGTGGTTATACCGGAAATAATGCCCGGAAGTTAATAATATGTTAATTTGATTATATATGATAAATAATAATTCAAAATCGTACTATTTCACTAAGAATTGTCGTGACAAAAATTTAAAAATTATATTGAATTTCAACAAATTGTATTTTTCTGCTTTTCCCCCTTAAACATTTTGATTACAGAAGATAAATAATTAATAAGTAATAGAACGAATTAAGTCGTACTATTAATGCCATAATCATACTCGTGATTAACAAATCAACCTCCCGCTACGCGGTCGGTTGATTTTGTAATCACTCGTATGATTATGGCATTAATAGCACTCCTATTCGTTCTATTACCATCATTAATTGTCCTCTCCAGGAGCTAGTCTAATTAATAATTTTCGTGATGCCTAGGGGGAGCGGGAAATCAAAACAACAAAAATCCAGTATGGCGGCGAAATTTATCTTGTATAAATAACAAACGTGGACGACACGGAACGAATAACATGCAAACGCGGCTCATGCAATTTTGGCACATTTTTTAAATAGCACTCGCACATTTTTTAATTGCACTCCTTCCCGTGTGATTACCTATAGCCTGCAAATATAATTCAGAACAGGTCTGAGTGGAATCCCTGCAATTAAAATTTACTTGCGGTTCAAGCCTCCTTGAATTTCATTCTTGGTCTATTCTGTATTGCTTTCTAATAAATTTTGCACTGAAACGGTACCATGCAGTTTATAAATCTTTTCACATCGTTTTGCAATACAACCGGAGATAAATGAAGCAAATACTCAAAGACCTAAACAGTTCATCATGGCGTTATTATACACGCACATTAGTAAACAAATTATGTCCTAAATCCCACTAATTCCATATAATAATAGCTCTATAAAAATAAGCTGTGTTACAGATCGCATAATTAGAAAGCTCTGTGATCATTGGCGCGACTTGCTTGTTCCTAGCATAGATAAACTATATACTATATATATCTATATATATCTATATATATCTATATATATATATATCTATATATATATATATATATATATATATATATATATATATATATATATATATATATATATATATATATATATATATATATATATATATATATATATATATATACGGATTTAAGACTGGAAATCATGAAATATATACTGAATGTCGTAAACATACTCGTTTATATTTATTCAGCATCGAACAATACTAGTTCTGCAAGTGTTATGTTAGTTGTGTAATTGCACACTCTGTAATATGTTAAGATGAAAATGTTCTAGAGTGTGTATTATATAATTTCCATACCCAGCGCAAGCAGAAAGATGTTGTCTGCCGCGGCTGGGTCTTGAACCCGCGACCTTCGAATTACTAGATCGACGCTCTACCAACTGAGCTACACGGTCAGACGGATTTAATATATATATATATATATATATATATATATATATATATATATATATATATATATATATATATATATATATTTATAAAGATAAAGATAAAGATAAACAAAAAATAAACCTGGTTTACTTCATAAGATTTATTCACTACAAACTTGTTTCGTATGACAAGCAATGCTTTGCCACACTCATCAGTCATTTATATATATATATATATATATATATATATATATATATATATATATATATATATATATATATATATATATATATATATATATATATATATATATATATATATATATATATATATATATATTCATATATATATATATATATATATATATATATATATATATATATATATATATATATATATATATATATATATATATATATATATATATATATATATATATATATATATATATATATATATATATATATATATATATATATATATACAGGGTGTACCAAAATAAACGCAATTCATCTTTTGTGCTTAATAACTTTCGAAATACTATTTCTAGTTAAACACTTTTAGGCTTACTTCAAAGCCTGTTCTTTTCTCTTTCAAACAAATTATTATCCTTGTCTCCAATGCTAGTAATAATTGCACACGAAAAGATTTAGTAAAACCTATTATTTTTAGTTGCTGTTTAATTATGCAAGTTTAATATGTTATTGTTTAGTCGGTTTAAATGTTAGAATTTTCTTCTTTAAACTTTAATGTTGTCGTCACTACATCTGGAAAACCACGTAAGAACAAATTAAAAGTATTTTAAAAAGAGACCAGGTTGTTTGAAAATCCTAAACGAATGCTAAAATCGTCAAAACATTCTGGTGTCTGAGCCAGAGTGTCATCGAATTACGATGTAATGTAAACAGAAATTATAGCAAGTTGATGTCAGTCAGCTTAGATGGTCCAAGCCAAAATTATATCGCATTTGAAGTTTCAAACTGAGTTAAAGATAGTGGAAGAAAGCCGTAATTATACTTATTGTTACAATCCATTTAATAAAATGCAACATTTTTTTGTTTTAATGAAAAAATCAGTTATTTTCCTGAGAACGATTTGTTATTCCATCTCAATTTTTTTAATCTCCAATCGCAATAACGTAAAGTATTATTACCCGCGAACCAATGAGTCAAATTTAAGAAACAACCCACTGTTCGGAAAGCTGAATGGCTACGCTTTAAAATGAATGTAAACTTTAATGTTTTCGTCTATTATTTGTTTAGCAATTTATTTTTCAGTCGAGGATTGCGCTTTTTTTGATACACCCTGTATGTATATATATATATATATATATATATATATATATATATATATAGATATAGATATATATATATATATATATATATGTACTATTTACGAAAACGAGCAGGAGTGTTTTGGATCATGCGCATAATAAGTCAAATCTTTATATAAAAATCTTTATATAAAAATCTTTATATAAAAATCTTTATATAGTTTGCATAACAATGGTCTTTTGTTAAAGTGTTCTTTAGCTGGTATAAAGACATATGCACGTGACTAATTTCTTACTCAAGATTGGATAATTGCTTCATGAATTATTAATGAGTTTTTGAAATATATATATATATATATATATATATATATATATATATATATATATATATATATATATATATATATATATATATATATATATATATATATATATATATACATATATATATATATAACCAACAATGAGATGATGTCGTATATATATTATATCGTACATATATATATATATATATATATATATATATGTGCCAAAACCACAACAAATCTTCTCTTGCCACTTTCAAGAATATTCTGAAAGAATACTACTACTCCGCTCTTTCCTTAACTTTCGACCCTGACGACCCACGTACATGGAAGACAACCTGTGTCAAATGTAACTGTGTTCGAAGTTTGCTGGTTCCCCCTTCTTGTTGTTTTTGAACTTCGTGCAACTGATTATTTATATTTTGGTAAAACCAGGGCCTTTCCATACCAGGTAATTCCAGATTGCGGCTGTGGACAGGATCTTCCAGGCTATTTTCAAACTGGATTGTGCGTAAATTTCAGTCACTGTGTTTTTTAGGGGGTTTTTCTTATCCATGCTATTACATTGTATGGAAAGGTTTTGCTTTTACCAATGGTAAAATATATTTTTTATAAGTGAGTGTCTGATTGCTTGATCTCTTGGTTGGTTGATTGAACACGTCAATTGAACAGTTCGTTAATTGATTGATTGATTTTATTATTTAGTCCTTTTCCGTTTACTGTTCAGTAAACTTAACTAATTTATCGAATATTGTGAAGAAGGATCCGCAGTAATTGGCTGTAGCGGTTGCGGAAATCCTGCCTTGTTTATATATATAGTAATTTGATGTTTCTTCTTAATATTGTTACCAAGGCAAAGTTAGATAAATTAAATTAAATAAATTAAAGTAATAAAAGCGCCAGCAGTGTCCTGTGAGATTTTCAAAAACCTCAAACTGCACTCGTTGCGTCAGACTTTCATGTGGACTTTGAAACCCACTTGCATCAATGTTTCGCCAAATTGAACTCGAAACCAGGTTATTACTGTATACTCTCTGCTGTATACTATAGTCCCACCGTATTATCGTGATTGGCACATGCAAGCATGCCAAGGTGAAAATTATAGAGTGACTCTGCAATTATAGTAAAGAAAGACTTTCAGTTTTCATGGGTGACCATGACTTGATGGTCACGACAGCCACGGCCAAATCAGGTTTCAGTGTACAGTGAGAGTATGTTTGAACCACTTTCATTTCTAATTTTATATATTTGGTGTTATTTCTTTAGAATTCGACAATCCAGTATGGCAATTAGACTACAAATTTTCTTCACGATACCCACCCAGTGGAAGTGATGACCAAGTTATAAATAGCAAGAGAATAAAGAATCTCTGTGATAATCTTATCAACCAATCCGATGATAGTTTCTTTACTGGCTATATTAGTTCACGACAAGTTCGTTATCAGCCTGATCCCTATTCAAGATTCAAATTGTACTGCGCGGTAACGTATTACAACGAAGCTGATTATGATGCATGTGACAAGAAGTACTTTGTCCCTGGTGGCTGATTTTTACTGAATATAAACTTTGCACGTTGTTTTCTAAGTAGTCGAGATTTATGTAATTTTGGTAATTTTTCATCACGGAGACTTTTATTACTCAGTTAATGTATTCAAGCACGGTACGGTTTTGCACCTAGACAGTCATTTGGTAATAAATAATTGTAGTTATAACAGTGCTTATCAAATGGGGGCTTTTGCAGTTGCAAATGATTTTTGTCGTACAGTATTTGTATATGTTGCTTTAAGATGAAAAAGGTCCATATATATATATATATATATATATATATATATATATATATATATATATATATATATATATATATATATATATATATATATATATATATATATATATATATATATATATATATATATATTAAGGTGAAAATGTTCTCGAGTGTGTATTATATAATTTCCACATTTTTTCACCTTAACATATTACGGATACGTAACGAGTTAGACGACCTTTCCTTCTCCGTCCTTTCCTTCTTGACCTTTCCTTCTCCGACCTTTCCTTCACGACCTTTCCTTCAAAGCCCGCCATGGAACATTTTAATAAGCGCCAAATTAAAATTTACATTTGCCACGCTTCAGAAATTTGAATAAATTGAAGTTAATTTACCCAAATGTAAAATGGATATGACGTAGGCCGGGCAAGCTTTTCTTCGTTTATTCGTAGACCCCTCACGAAACGTGTTTCTGCTGGGGTCTACACCGTAGGCTATCTTCACCTTGACACTCCTTACTTTGCCGTTATCTCCCGTACTTCTTGTACTCTGCCACTGTTCCATTTGCCCCGCATTGTACTCGGATCTGCGACGATCACAAAATCGTCCACTTCCTTCTTGGTAGTAAATGTGGGAACACGTCGCGCGACCATCGTTTCGAAAACGAATCGACTATGCGCTGGCAGAATTCAAATCTTTGCTGAGGATTCTTTGTATCGCGGAATGGACCTTGTGGAACGTCGTTCGTTGCTCTCACCTTAAGAATGTCGTTAGGGCATAGATACAGTATGCACCGTCATCGGGATCTTATGGTATTCGGCCAATCGCCGTGCTGATTCCACCAAATTAGCTGCTTCCAGAAGGCAGGTGTATAACTCAAACGGTGTTAACTTGGTATCACAGCACACTTTAAAGCAATCTTAACAGACTTATATTTATTACGCCGAGGGGATGAAGATGTCTTGAAAATAGCTCATATTTTTACAGGGCCCTGATGAGGTTATTGGTAAATTGTCGATGCCCCCCCCCCTTCAAGTTTTTATATGGAATCGAAGGAGTAGAATATGGAATCGAAGGAGTACAATCCGGAATTCTCTCTTATCATAGATACAATTTGCAGTTCCTCAAGATGTCTGATGTACTCAAGCATATGCTTCTGCTCAACAAAAATATCTACCTGCTGCTTCTTTACCTCACTAGCGCCAGATGAAATGGCACCGTCTTTAAAAAAAAAAAAATTTAAATTGGTTCTAGGGGCGAAATTATCAACAGGTTGTTGTTGTTCGTCATTCAGCGTAGTCGGAGTCTTGAACAGTGTAGTGGCCGGGTTTTCCTGGATCAGCGTAATGTGCTGGAACTTTAGAAAACGTCGCCCCACCCAACGTATCACCACGGGCAATAGGACAGGTGTAGTGTTGTTAAATAGAAAGTTAGAAATGGTATTGTACTTACTCATGTATTATAATTATGTTTAAAAGATCAGAATATTCATAACTTCTTATTTTGTTTCATAAATAGTTCTTTAATATTCGAAACAAATTCCACATCTGCTTCGTCTGCCATCGCCATGTTTACTCGTCCCAATCTACATGCTGCACGGCATTGCCGCCCCTCCTGGCAAAATAATAAGCAAGCGAGAAAATAAGAGGGTAGGAGAAAATAAGAGGGTAGGAACATCGTTGTCATAAGCTGGATGCAGTGACACTTCCATATATGGCACAAACCTATCCATAACTTCCATATATGGCACAAACGTATCCTCGACGCGTTTTATAACGTTTTATTTGACGTAGGGATGACGTAATGCTGCTTCCCGCCTATGACAATTTGAATTAGTCATGTGATACAAGATTGCGAAAGCCGATTCGCCCAGAACGATGACACGCCCACGAAACGCCCACAATGTTCCTACCCTCTTACTTTCTCCTTAATTTTTCTCGCTTGCTTATTATTTTGCCAGGAGGGGCGGCAATGCCGTGCAGCATGTAGATTGCGACGAGTAAACATGGCGATGGCAAACGAAGCAGAAGTAGAATTTGTTTCGAATATTAAAGAACTATTTATTTTATGAAACAAAATAAGAAGTTATGAATATTCTGATCTTTTAAACATAATTACAATACATGAGTAAGTACAATACCATTTCTAACTTTCTATTTGACAATACTACACCTGTCCTATTGCCCGTAGTATCACCTGACATCTGTTGCAAATGTCTTTGCATGCCTGTCAAAATGCATGCAAAACCACCAGTATGCTTCAATTTCTTTACTTTTTATCCCGTTTGTACTAAATATCCCATGAACACAGAACATATTTTTACAAATCGTATGCTTTTTTTGTTTTTGGAACTGCTACTTTTTGGCGGGTAAATTACTTCACAAACCTGGCGCCAAAAAAATTAAAATAAGCTATATGTGATTTCATGTATCCATTTAGAAGAGCAGACTAAGGATATCTTAATTAAACTGAAATCGGTTTCGAATACAACTATCAGGGACGTAGCGAAGCATCTGACGTTTGGAGGGGGGGGGGGTGTCGGAGGATTATATGTGAATATTTATTAAATAAAGCTTTTTGTGATTGATTGGCACTCTCATACTAAGTTTTGGGAGAAAAGGGGGGTCTGGGGGTCCTCCGCCAGAAAATTTTTACATTTTTGAAGCTCTAGGACTGAATTTCCGGCGTTTTCTAAAGCAAACTCGCAAACAAATTGCATGTAAATGGACTGTATTTTACAAAAATGGTTATCATTTCGCAAAAATAATTACTTTATTACACAAATTTTACCTGAAAATGTCAAAATTTTAACTTGAATTTTACATGATTTTTGCCTGAATTTCACAGTCGGGGGGAACCTTACACCCTCCTCCCACAACCCCCAATTGCTACGTCCCTGACAACCATTCCTTGCGAAGATATAATGATAATTTTCTAAAAATCCGCCATTTTGTTCTATTCTTAGTAACAATATGGCCGATTTTTCGACACTTGTATCGCTATATCTTCCCATAAAATGGTTGTATTTAGAAACAGATTTCAGTTTAATTAATTAATTAAAGTACCCTTGGTCCACTCTACAAATGGATTCAGTAATATCACCAATAGCTTATTTTAATTTTTTGGCGCCACGTTTGTGACATAATTTACCCGCCTGAAATTAGCAATTCCAAAAACAAAAAAATAATTCGCCAAAATAATTTTCGGGAAAAATTTTTTTGGCTACTAGTCGTGCAGAATCCCAAAAAGTCGGGCAAATTTCATTCCACCCCCCTAATTTTTTCCTTCCGGTACGCCCATGCAGTTAATTAATATAGTATAGACAGTTTGGAAATCATTAGAATAGCAATATTTAACAGTTATTCTGCGAACTCGAGTCGAATATGAGCTGATAGCCGATGAGGCGCGTAGCGCCGGATCGGCTATCGCTCATATTCGACGAGAGTGAGTGGAATAACTGTTTTATTATATACACAAGGTCTGAATTCACAGACTTTGCTTTTCGAATATTTTCAATATTTTTCTATTTTGTTTATGTTTTTATCTTCGCTCTTTCGGCCGATTATTTTTTCAAAAATATATATTTTCAACCATTTTAAATATTAAAAATTTATTTGCTAACCTGAAAACAATTTGTGGGAGTTTTTTTCATTGTGTTTTTAATCCTGTGAAGGCTATAAAAAGCGACAACTTGCCGTTTTCTTGTTTGCAAAACATCGTAAATTCAGTTTGGCCGCCATTTTGTTTTTCTCCACTAGCAGGATATGAGCTAATATCCTGCTAGTAGAGAACCAATCAGATTGCAGAATACCTCATATCCAGACCTTGTGTATATAATAAAACTCATTATCTATGTTAGTCAACATTTATTCATAAATATATTCTTTCACCGCAATTTTCAATTTATCATATTGTTTGAGTCGTAGATAGGCAACTTTCCTAAAAGATTGCTATTGGTTAGTGGGGCAAAAATACAATACGTTTCATGTGAAGGTAAAAGACCAGATCTATGAATGTTATTCACTAACATGGGTAATGAGTTATATTGTTATTCTAATGAGTTTCCAAACCATCTGTTCTATTAACTATGGTGGGAGCGAACACTCCAGGCCCCTGCTGGACCAAAACGTTGAA